ATGGCCACCATCACCATGGCAACGGAGGATTTAAAAAATGTAAAAAAAATATTTTTATGCTTAACTCTTTGAGTTATAACTATTAGCCAAGTATTACATCTTTAGACTCGGAAATAAGGAAGTTGGTACTCATCACCCGCCCATGCCCTTAAGGGCATTGGCGGGAGTACTTTTCGTCATAAATCCACCAAACAATCGATATCCCACTTTTACTTGATCTATACAGAATAACCATCGTTGAATCTGAAAATGACATTGTTATGACCCTAAAAGCATTATTTATTTATGAAAAACTGGGTTCAAAGTAGTGTGTATAGAGTCATTTGTTTACTTTTTTTTGGTTAAAATAGCCATTTTTCGACCTAAAAAAATTACTAATAGGCTTCACGAAAGCCTACTGTGATTCATATCAATGGAAAGGCCGTGACCTCCTTTCTTTATTTGTTCTAAAATTAAAGGACCAATTAAAATACTTATTTTAATGTTATACTTTTTCTACGTCTTAAAGTTATTTTACTCAGTCAGGTTATTTCCGGTATGCAAATTTTTTACCTCAATTTTTTGATTGGCATTCAGCGGCAGAAGCTGGTTAGCGATTGGTCGTTTCGCTTTGGAAGTAAACATTCCCTTAGTTTCAGTGTGTTGCGAAGTTTGATCTGGTTTAATTTTGTTTCTTTAAGCGTCTGTAAAATACTTACATTATTTTAACACAATTATTTCCAATTAAATATACCAGGGGTCTCCAAACTTTTCAGCCCGAGGGCCGCTTTAACTATAAAAAATCAGTTCGCGGGCCAGAGTAGAGTTCCTTCCATGCATCCTTTGGGGTGGCTGTGTCCACCGTGTCCCCCCCACCCCCAAAGAAATAGAATTTATATAGAAATATAAAAACATTTTAAATGCAACCCCCTTCCTTCCAGGAGAAAAAGTCTGAAAGAAACACTGTCCGGCCGACAACACACTCAAGGTCCAAGTTTGTTCTCCTTGGGCAAACACAAAAACCCACCCGCCATTTTTTGAACTTGTCTCTTAGGAGGTCATTTGCTTGCAATTCAATGACCTCCATCTGCAGATCATCTGGACAACTGGTTACATTTGCTTTAAATGGGTTTTGAAGCAGTCTCACTTCTTCTGCCTTTGAATCCTAGTCAGAAAACCGTTACTGAAACTGCAGCTGGGGGTCTTTGGTGATCTTGCATGCAAATGATGTGGGGAACTCAGCTGTTGCTTCAGCCATGAAGACTTTGCACTGCTGAAAGTGCGTCAAGTTGTTGCCCTGTACTTGTTCCAAAAACACGGAACAGCTGTCCAGCGACTCTATTTGAGTCACAATGTTTTCATCAATGTTTACAACACGGAGAGCAAAGGTATTTATACCCAAAGCTAGATTTTCAAATTTTTTTGAATTTTCTGAGCAAAGTACCTCAGCCACTTCTAACAAACATCTTTTTCCGTGAACAAAAAGATCTCCGCGGGCCGGATGAAAGGACCTTGCGGGCCGCATCCGGCCCGCGGGCCGTAGTTTGGAGACCCCTGAAATATACTATTAACAGTTTAGATTAATTAGTGTGAATTATCATAAGCAGTGAGAGGATTATTTTTGTTTCTTTTTCGATAATGGGTAGAACCAAAACCTCGCTAAAAAATAGATACACACATCGAACTAAAGCAAGGCACATCCGAACGCAAATGATTGCAGCTACCTCTACTCAATCTAGCACTATTCAGACAAGCACTGATGCAGATGTAATATGCACATTTACTAAGAAATACAAACATACAAAATATGCTGCTGTTATTGCGATAGCAGAATTCAATTTTCGACCCAAGCATGCATTGCTGTCAAAAGAATGAAACCAAAGTCAAAGACTAAGTGGACATCAAATAAGACGCCTTGACAACAGCCTGACTACAGCTTTATGTAAAAGCAAAGAGCGCCAGAAAAAAAGAAATTAGCTGTTGAACAAGTACAAAAGGAATACATTCAGCAGCACCATACTTCTGGCTATGAATGTGGTCGACTTTAGTGACATACAAGTTGCGGCAAATTTTCATTTTGTGCTGCTTTTTGTTGGTTTTTTGCGTTTTTCTCAGTTTGATGTTTTTTTTTTTGTACCATTGTTGAAATAACTTTGTTAATAATTATCAGAACTGAATTAAATTTGCCCCAGTTACTCTGCAGACATGTTCAAATAAAATTGATAGAACAATTTTGAAATTTAAAAAAAAAATTTATTGCAGTAGTGAAAAAAATGGACGAAATATTGATATTTTTACAGTGATTTAAAAATCGTCAATAAAATCCTTTATCTGCCATGCCATATTTTAAAAAATTAAAAAAAAATATTTTTATGCTTAGCCCTTTGAGTTATAACTATTAGCCAAGTATTATATCTTTAGACTCGGAAATAAGGGAGTTGGTACTCGTCATTCACCCAATGCATAATTTAAATCTACAATTCAATGGACACCAGCGAGAAAAGTCTCAAAGGTATTTGAGAGGTCCATAAATTAATTTAAAAATCTTGAACGGCGTAGTTACAATTAATATGGTTATAAAATCCTGTCTGTCTGTTTTTTTCGGACTTTACTAAAGATTGGATGTATTTGATGTTTTTAATATTTTCGGTAACTAAATAAAAATTAAAAAAAAGCAAAAATAATTTGGTTTTCACATGTAATGGCGACATAAACAATGGCATCCTGCTATTCGATAGGCCGCCATAAATTTTATTGTACACTTAGTAACACTTAGTAAGCTAAAAATAGAAAAACTAGGTCATGGTGTTTAAATTTGCATTGTTATTTAAAAACTTGATCTGCAAAGTTTTGTAAACAAAATAACTATAAAGTGGGGCTGTCAGAAATCAATCATGGAGTTCCTTTACAGCCAATTAATGTTTGTCTTACGAAAGTGAAACATCGGGTTATAACTTAGGCTTGATGAAAATAAATAGAAATGTAGCCTTAAACTCAACAAATTATTTTCAAGTTCTCTGGATCTGCAACTTGTCTACCATTGATTCTAAAAATATTTAATTTCTGAATTAATTTTAGGCTTAAGTTTTTAATAAAATTTTATCTTTTATTATTTTTACGGTCCTAAATCTAAAAAAGCACAGTTTTATTCCATGTCAACAACATTACGGAAGGATTTTCGTCAACTCACTGGTGTCCATTGCAAATAGTAAAAAGAACATTCAGAAGCTAGATTGTCCACATTATCTATTAGATTCTAGTAGATCTAGTTATAGATAATTACCTCAGGTGTTGATGACCTGATTTTTTTAAGAATCTTGACTTGCTGAAAAAGGGAAGAATCCCCTTTTGATCTCTCTGTTGACCCTATGGAGTTTTTTTTAATTCTGTATGAAGTTTTTTAACTCTCTATATAGTTATGTCAAACTGATTTTTTAAAACTGTCCAAGAGCTTTATTTATAGTTGATATCAAGGTTCTAAGATAATGGATACCAAATTCATTTATATATCCCAAGTAGTAAAAGAGTTAAGTTTTAAAACATTTTTCGGCCTCCTAAAAAGTGTTTGTGGGGGAAGGGGGTGTTATATCTGTAAAAGTATATGACACAAACTCAATCTTTTGAACTCAACACAAAGATACTTACACAGATAATATATACTCAATATTTTTTTCAAACGGCAAAAATAAGTACATGATTTAAATTAATTGCATTGAATTTGGCTTTTCTCACTATTGATAAAATTAAAAAGGGAAAAACACAATGTAGCAGGGGCATACAATTGTCTTTTAGAGATCGCAAGATACTGGACGGATTTTTACTAGTCAATAATAGAAGGGAGACTAGATTAAATTATAGTGATCACGAAATAAGCGCATTGTAGAGGGTGAACTGTTGTCACGGTTGGCGGATTTCTTGATAAGCATTGACTTCAAAGTAGGGGCAAACAACTATCTATTAGAGATTGCCAGACATGCCTACCATCCCACCAAAATTGGAATGGTTCCGCTTTTTCACCTAAAAAAGTAATTTGTTCCGTCATCTCGATTTTGACTCCGTTTGTTCCTTTTTTTTTTTGAAAAAAAAATTAACAAAGGATGGTAATAAATCGAATTGAAAAAAGGTCAGGGAAAAGCGATTATCTCCCTTTGGCACACGTTTTCGTTTTGTAGTTTACTTACAATATTTACAACTAATAGATAATGTAGACACTATGTATATATATATATATACATATATATATATAATATATATATACATATATATATATATATATATACATATATATATATATACATATATATATACATATATATATATACATATATATATATACATATATATATATACATATATATATATACATATATATATATACATATATATATATACATATATATATACATATATATATATATATATACACATATATATATATACACATATATATATATACACATATATATATATATATATACACACATATATATATATACACATATATATATATATACACATATATATATATATACACATATATATAGACATATATATATATATACATATATATACATATACATATATATATATATATATACATACATATCCTAATCAAATATATTAATATTGACATAAAAATATTAGTGGCTCTTTAAAACTAATTTTGTAAATTGTAACTTTTGGCTCCTCCGTCTCAAAAGGTTGCAGACCCTTCCGTAGGGCATCTTGGCAGTAGAGTAGACAAAATTGCAACTCAAATACTGAGATCCAAGAAATATATTTAAATAACACTGTTCTAGAACTTTTAAAAGTTCATGTTGAAAAATATGATAGGTAATGTTGATGAAACCCCTAAACTAAGTTGCATCAATTAGATGTGTGGTAGTCTACCAGATTTTAATGCTCTGTAGGGAACCTTGTGGAATAATGATGATAAGAAAACTTAACTGCCATAAAATTTTATCCACCATCTATACCTTTAGGTGTGATTAAATTTTGTTTTCTAAATATATTCTTTCTAGGAGTGGGTATTGCTGCTCTCATTGACTTGCTTTTTCTGGTATCATCAATTGCTCCTCTTGTGGCTCAGTTAGGAACATATGCCTTTATTGCTATATCCAGTGAGAATTATGCTTGGGGCTCATGCGAATATGTTAAGCACATAACATCAGAAAATGAAGCATGTTTTCAAGGGCTGGCTAAAAGGTTAGTTGCACTATAGTAACATTTTGATATTTTAAGATACACATTTTTATGATAAAATGATATAAAACCTAATTTAATAAAAATATTTATACATAAATAAAACTTGTATAGTAGCAATCCTTACAGTTTATTAAAATAACAAGGTAAACAATTTCCTTTATTTAGCTATCTATATATATAATTCTCTTCTTCGAGCCGTTAGAAAACAAGCTGCAAACGCTCTCCCTACCTCCCCACCCCTACATGGTTTTAGTGAGCTGTGTTCACTCTAAATGTTTACAAGCAGAGCCAACGATGTTAAACGTAGGGGTGGGGGGGGGGGGGGGGGAAGGAAGGGGGGTTATGGTCCTTAACGAGCTACTTATAGTGTTTTAAAGAAATATTTTCAGTGTCAGCGTTGGTACTGTCGAATTCACAAATTATGAATTATTGAAAATTAGAAACAACTAAATAGCGGCGTATGTTATGCCGCGGGCCGGCATTATTGTGCTTGTAAGAGGATTGTCCTTTAATTTAAAGGGGTGGGGATATTTAGTATATGAATAATTTTTCTAACCCCAAAGGATAGAAATAATAAATGTGTATAAATTATGAGTAACTTAACATTCATTTCAGTGAAGTTGGGCGCACATTGCATAGGCCAGAAGAGATTTTTTACAAGTAGGCTAACTTATTTTATAATTTTTCTTAAAATTTGTGTTAGTTTTCTTAACAGGAAAATGTATAAACTCCCTAACAAACCATTTTTTCCCATCCATACATTTTTTTTTTCACAAATTTTTACCATTTTTCATCATTTACTAACTTGTTTAAATTTATTGATGCATTTTACTTTTCACATGTTGAATAGTATGATTCTTTTATCTTGCAGGCGAGAATTTCTTCAAATTTCGAGGGCCATTGAAAACATTGATGGATTTCCACAATGGAGGTTTACAGATCTAGCTCGCAGAGCTGAAATTTCGCTGATGCCAGTTACTCTGGCAATTGTTTGGGTTTTGATTACCCTTTTTGTTGGATTTGGAGCTAGAGTTTGTGGCTGGGTGATTAACTTATCTTTACTTATGTTTTAAATTAAAATACATGTAAGCATTGTTATTTATAGATTAGTTGTTAAGATGATCATTCACGTGTTTGTTGCATATAATAGCCTGTTAATATAAAACGTTAGGAAAATGCAGCAAACATTTGGATGTAGTTTCTATCACTAAACTAAATATTTTTAACAAATATTTAATAAAATGTCTGTTTATTCTTGAATAAGGATGCAGATAGATTGTGCAGCATGATTGTGAGCAAGCTGTACAACTGTTTTTAGTTGTAACCTATTCTCTTTCATGATCACATCTGGTTTCTCTTGGTTAACAATTGTCTTTTCTTAATGATTCCATTTAAGATTTGTTTGGCACTGGTTTTGTTAAAAAATTTCATTTTCAATACTCATTGGATTCTGCACATGTAACATAAAAACGTGACATTATTTTAACCAGTCCCCTGTCCTCTATAGTTATATAATATTTATAACATTTCTTTAGACCTTACTAACATGACAGACACAATTTGGTGCTACAAATTCTGATTTAAAAAAAATATAGATATATATCATTATCATCCGAAATGGTTAGAAAGAAAATGATGGTAGTGTAAATCCTCTCACTGCATAACTGTCACCAGTTACAATAGTTAGAATAGTCATTTACACAATAGACTGGCTGCCAGATTGGTGTGTTATTTATTATACTTTATTGGTAATAAAAGACTAAGAGTATTTTTGAAGATAAACACTTGTCAGTGTAAAATTGAGATGAGGGTGTACCCTGAATAGCATTGGAAGTCTAAAATGTTCAGAATAGCAGAATGATGTTATTATAGAAATACATATTCATATTTCTACGAGAAATAATTAATTTTGATTTTTGAAACAGCCCACTGTAGCCTTAAAGGTTTAAAATGTAAACTACTTTTTAGTACACTATTTTTAAAAAAAGCCTTAATTTGCACAACTCAAGTTTTGTTGGTGGGGGGGGGGGGGGGGGGGGTCCTAGAAATCCTACAAGAGAGTTTTATTGCATTGACAATATGGGAGGGGGGTAAAAATGTCTTATTCTTATATCAGTTTAAAATCTTAAAATCTTCATCAAACTTATTTTCCCATTTCTTGCCAATTACTTTTACTGTGTAAAAAAAAAAGTTTATTTACTGCCAATATATCACATGCTCTTGATATCAGAACATAATATATGCAATTGTAAGTAAATAATTTTCACTCCATTCTATTCTTGAGAAACTATTTGTAAAATCATATGATTAGGATCAGAATCTCCTTAATTGTTGCTCTGTTGTCATTGCTATAGACAAGTCACCATTTTATCAGTCATATTTAGGATGTATCTTTCAAATCTGCTCATAGTACTGTAAATTAATAATTAAATTACATCATTTACTTAGTAAAAGATAACTACCAATGAACCTTTTGCAATTTTGTTTTTTATATTTGCAGATTCTATTTCTTGTAGGACCTGCAGCGTTAGCTTGTCTTCTTACTGTTCTTGGATATGGATATCAGAAGTTAGATAACAGCCACTCTGTAGAATATTTGAAAAAACTTTATGTCTTCAAAGATCAGGATAACATTTTTAATGTATGTGAAATAATTACTTAACTACTAATAGGTATTTTCTTGAGTTTAACCTTACTTGAGTCTATTAACCCTTTACAGTATTGGCCTAACAGATATTTTACTTCCCATATGGCCAGGCTAAAAGGCCACACATTTTGCAACCACTGCACTTAAAAATTTAAAAATTAGTTAATTAAAAAAATAGCCACATACAATATAAAATTAAACAAAGAGCTTATTACATGAAAGTTGAAAGTGGTTGAAAATTATTATATGAGGTAAAATATCTTTATAATTTACTAATATATTTTTTATTTCCAGAAACATAAACAAAATATAACTTCTAATATTATTTCAATAAAAATATATTTTAAATGCAAAAAATTTCAACATAAGTCTTTGGAACTACTTTCTTTTTCAATATTATAAATAACATTAAAAATTAAGCTTTTGTTAATATCTTCAAAATCTTGTTCCAAAATAAATATAATTTATAAACACACACAACTATCTAAAACTAGAAATGATTACACTTTCGAGTTTCTCTTTACTCAGGTACTTTGTTGTGAGTCTGTAGCTTGCCATAATCTCTTCTCAACATCAACACATATTTTGTATGCTATCTATATAACCCTATTATACACAATAACTGGGTGGCCATTCCTGTCTTTTGTTAGTGCATACATGATTTTAATGTTAGACCTCTTGTTTCAATACATACCTTAACAGGCACTCAAATTGCTTGCAGAATACTTATTATAAAGTTAAAAAGTTTCTATATTTATTTTTGTAATTAACTTTTTTATATACCTGTAGAGCTGGTTGGAGGGATTTAGAATTCTCATCTACTCCTTTCCAATGTGGACTCCAATTTGTTGTACAATGGGTAAATTTTGTGGGAGAAGTCAGAAAATACGCAATTTGTGAGTTGATTGTTACTATATTGTCTTGCTACCTTTAAGATAAGTGTTTTTATTTTAATTTTGTTTTAGAAAAGTTGAAAGAAGATTGTTTATTACATTTGGTATAATTTTTTGAAGTTCTTTATTGCAACTGTTTTAATTTTGGATTAAGCCATTTAAATCTTTTTTAAAGTATTTTCTGTTTTGAACTAGACCAATTACAAATTGTATAATCAAGAAACTCAAGTTCTTTTTTTTTTATATTTAGGACGTGGGTTATACTGGTTGTTGTTTTTTTGCTGGTCAGTCAACTACCTAATCTAACGATGGCTCCATTTCTTGGAAATTTGCACAATAAATTTAAGGATAATCCAGTCCAAGTCAAATGTTTGTATCAACTGTTTCATATATTTAAACATTAATTAATAATTAGCAATAATTAGTCCTTACTGGTAAACATTTTAAAACAAGCTCCAGGTTCTTGCAAATTAGGTAGACGTGCATCTTAAATTTGTGTAGAATAAAGAAATTAGGCTTGATTAAAGTATACTTTACACAGTGTTTGAGTCACATTCAGGGCTGAGAATAGAGATAGGCAGGAAGGGGTCAGGGGGAGAGGCTGCTCCACCTTGGACCATGTTCAGGATAAAAGTTTCAACTGCTGTAAAGAAAAAATAATCTCACATTACAGAAACTATTTGTGTTACAGTATATTTAAGTGTACGACTGCTAACCCAAAAAACTTGAGTTTTGATTCCTGGCTTCAGTCTCCAGGATGTCCCTTAGTCCACCCAGCTCTGATGGGTACCTGACTAGTTAGCTAAAGGAAATCCAGCTGGGCTTAGTTCTGACCATACTATCCTTCATATACCAAGGTCACAGAAACTCCACTAGCCCCATGGATCATTAGGTATGAAAGGGGTACACTTACAGAAACTATGATCTTGAAACTGTCAACAACATTATTTATATGGCAAATGTAATGTCATATATTAATAGTTAATTTTTTAACAACTTACTATTTGACACTTAAATCAGTGCCAGTTTTTCACAGTATCAGTCCACTCTAGCATCTCTTTTTCATACCTGTCCTTTTTGGACTCGCAATAAACCTGGCTTACACCCGTAAAGCTTAACTGAAATTCTTTCAAAGTAAACATATTATTATTTAATGAACAGTATTAATTATAAAAATTGCTCTTCAGGTGTGAATTTACTCTGTGCCCAAAAATATTTTTTATCAAATGATACTTAACCATATTATTAGGTATGTCAAATGGCTGAAAGGAACATCGAATGTTGTGTGCCACGGTGTCAGTATTATAGGGTACTCCTTAAAACTAACTTAGGAGCCATAGTGCTCACAGGATAACCTGGGGTGCATTGCCAAATGGCACCCTGCCAGGGCACCAGCTGATGCACCTGATTCAATTTAATGAACGACTATAATACCCCGTTTTATCCAGAGCCTTTTACACTGTTAAAAACGAACGTAAGTGCCAAATAGCACCCTGCCAGGTCGCTGGATGACACACCTGATTTGATATAGTCAATGATTATTGTTGCCCATCTTAAGTGTATAGTCATTTTTTAAAACAAAAGCAGGTGCCATAGTGCTTACAGTGGAGCTTTGGGTCAAGCAATTGCCGCCGGCTGTGCCTGTTGCAGTTTTACAGCTGCATATAGTAGTACCACTTGCTATTCAGGATATCCAAATAATGGAATACAAATGCTAAGATAACCACTCTAGAAAGCTGGGCGCCAAACCGTGTATTGAGAAAAATTGCACCATCCTGGGTGCCGCCCATAATAAATTTATTTTTGCCCTCAGAAACCTTCTCGGGTGTATTCTCATCATTTCCCCAAAAAGTCGTGGTGATTGGATGAAAAGTGTCAAACCGTTTCTTACTTTTTTTTATATTGGCCTACACTGTATATATAGAAAAATTGCACCCTCCTGGGGCCCCGCCCTTCCGAAATTAAAAAAGATTTTTTGCAGAAACCTCCCATTGAGTGAGTGTTCTTATCAACTCCCCAAAGTTTCATGGTCATCGGATTAAAGGTGTAGTAATGCATAAAGGACAAACCCTCCCACAACTATACTTTCATTTATATATATATTGATGGTACACCAACTAAGGTATTATAAATAAATTTTCTTCCTCTTAAATGCAGTAGAAATATTTTCTGTATTTTAACCTTGCACTTTTCCAGCCACATATTTAAATGGACACAAAAAGCATGTATTTCAAATATTTATGTTATAGGCATACAGCTACTTAAATTAAATGTTTCCCTACATTTTATATAACACATTCATTTATGTTATTATATCAGAAAAATTTTGGTGATTTTTTAAAATATACACAAATTGTTTTTTTTCTTCCCTTTTTAATTGTATCAAAAAATGAGAAAAACCTATTTCAATGCAACGAATTTAAATGATGAATTTATTTTTTAGGTCTGAAAAAGTTGAGTCTGTCCTCTCTGTGTTTAGTTCAAAAGAGTTTATGTCATATACTTTTACAGATAACAGGTTGCTTTTTAGGATGTCCAAAAAAAGTTAAAATTTGTAAACTATAACTTTTTAACTACTTTTAACAAATTTGGCATCTATGATGTTAGAAGAATCTCAAGTTCTTAACATAGCAACTTTTTTAAAAGCTCTAGAACTGGTTTAAAAAATCAGTTTGACATACCTAATAATTTTCAAATGAATTAATGTTATTATAATCAAAGTTTGTGCCATTTAAATTAATATCATACAATTTTTATTATTATTTGTTTGTTCCCTTTCTCAGTTACTGATGGCATTGATAGAATCATGTGGCAAATGCCAGCAGCATTTACAATACTTGAAGTTCCTAATGCATATGGCTTTATCTTCTTCCTGTCTGCATTTTTATTTACCCTAATGTTTTTGGTAAGTTTTCAAATATTGTAGTCTTATTTCTTGAGGTAAATTGAAACATAAATTAAGTAGTATTTATTTTAAGTCAGGAATTTCAAGAAATTTACCACACATTAGGAACATCTATATATATAATTCTCTTCTTGGATACCCTAGAAAACACCAAGCTGTAAGCGCGCATTGCAGTCACCTCTCTTCCTCTCTAGGCATATCCCTACCACCCCCACCCCTCACATGGTCTGGTGAGCTGTGGTTCACGCTAAATGTTTACCATCGTAGAGCTGGGTTTAGTGACAGCTATTAGGGGCAGATAATTTAGTTTGAAACGATTTTAAACTTAGGGGAAGTAACTAAGAGGAGGCTGCTTTCACGGGGGGGGGGGGGGGGGGGGGATAGTATCGTCCTTCTCGAGCTACAGATAGTGTTTTAAAGCAAATATTTTTAGTGACAGCAGTGGTACTGTCGAATTCACAAATTATGATTTACTGAAAAGTAGAAAATAAAACAACTAAATAGCGGCGTATGATACGCTGCGTGCGGGTCGGCTCGTAAGATTATATTTCCAGTATTTAAAATATTTTTTATTTATTAAAGTATTTTATTCTCCAATGTGCATAACATCTTTTCTATAAATACTTTTTAAGAATTAATTCACACTAGTGAGTTTGATGTGAATTGTTGGTTGATATTTTTTAACTATATAAAGAGAATAGTGATAAGTTTAAGGATAGAAAAATTTAGGTAGATTTTCTGCTTAGCCCAGGTTCAAAGTGGCCTTAGAAAATTTTTTCCTTTTTTTCCCCCAAGGATTTCTTTAACAACCAGTTAATTTAAAATATTTGATGCAAAATTGTCTCTTGTTTTATTTACTTTTTAGATATTGTGTTTCTGTTTTAGTGCATTGGGACCCTGACCATTGTTGATAACATCCTTGACTCAATAAAACTTTGGATTGAAAGACATGCTTGTAGCAAAATAGCTGTCAACTTGCTCATTACTTTTCTTGTCATGCTTGTTTCAATGGGCATAGGTATAATCCAAACAACCAAGGTGAGTTTTATTAATAATAATGAGTAGAAGTGGCAATTCAAAAATGTAACATTGAGATCTTTTAAATTGAATTATTACTACTTGCATTTAATATTTTTATATTTATTTTTTTTGTCTTAGGCTGGCCATTATTTTTACTTGCTTTTTGCACAGTCCATGGATAAACTTCGTTTCTTACTAATAATTCTGTTAGCTTTTGGTTTATTAGTTGTTTATGGTAAGTATGTCATATTTTGTCTTTTAAGAACTAACAAAGTTTGCATTGTTATATTTTAAATTAACCGAATTTCCTATATTTAAAGAAATATTGTAACATTTTTTTAGTGAAACAAAATTTTGGTCTCATTGAGCGTATTGTAATGGGTTTCTGGTCCACCTTATCATCTATACTATGCTCGGTAAGTAGTTACATAATCAATTTTTATTATACATGCCAGTATATGTGTTTGTGCTTTAGACCTTTTCACTTTGCAAGTTATGTAAAATTATTTATTAGTTTTCTTGCATTGATACATCTATATATTTTTAATGCAAGTTGGTGGCCATTCTTACATTTTTAAAGTTTTACACTAAACATTTGATTTCAATAATAGTCTTGACCTTTTAGAGTAGGCCTATATTGTAACTTATTTATACATTTTATCTCAAATGATTTCTATCTATAAAATTTTGAAAACACTAATTTCTGCTGAAGAAAATTCAATATAAAAATCAACACATGTGCTTTCTTGTATATAATGTTTATTTCCTAATGAACTCTTAGTATAGAAGCATCAGTGCGTAAGCTTCACTGTCGTTAGTTCTTAATGCTGAGTGATATTTCTATTATCAGCTTGTTAAATTAAATGTGACTGAAATAATTTTTAAAGTAATGATCTATTTGGATTATAACATTGGCTTGGACATGCATGAGTCACATCCAGTATCTTTTGCTGATGTCCAGGGAAAAAGAGATGGAGTCTGGAAATTTTAACCACCTGTCTATAAAATATTTTATAGTAAAAAAAGTTGAGAATGTTACAAAACAAATTTTTTCTAAGTTAAAAATTCTCTGTGCTAATGCAAAGAGTCATATAAACATTTGATATATTTTGCACTGCATTATATTGAAATAAAGAGTTTGAGAAAAATGCAGCATGTATTAGATTTTGTTTACCCCCACTTTGTCTTACTTGGTTTGTTTTAGCCATCTGACAGGTTATATAACTTATTTATTTTTTTAACAGGGTCTATGGCTCTATCATCTATATTACCAGTTAGACAAACATTCAGCTAATATTCGCTTCGATTCAATCACTTCGAAAGAAAGCAAAAGTGGTATGTATTTTATATAGTATTCCTTGTTCTCATAATAAATTTTTTTATCAGTAGCTTATGGATTGGTGTCATCTTTTCATGACGTTTACAAAAATTTTTAAATATATTTTTAAAATCTCCCCATTTATTTTTTCTGTAATATACCACCTCAGGCTCAGAACCTTCATTTGTTTGGCGACTGACCTTGTGAATTTGTTACAATAATTTAATGTCACATAATGAGAAAATGATCGCCCTCAGAAATGTTAGTCCCTCTACTTTTACCTGCTATTTTTTATTTTTTTTAAGTTTGCTTGAAGGCAGTCAGAAAAAAAAATTATAAGGAAGGTGTGTGAGTGGTAGTTCTGGTATAATTTATCTGTATTTTTAATCCACCTTCTGTTTTTGATATTGTTGCAAATACTGACGATTAGGGCTCCACAAATCCACCCCTCCTTGTAACTACGGTCACTTGTGTAAACTCACCATAATACCATTTTAATAATAGCTTAATTAATGGAAAACATAATGCAATTATATCATGGGGGGAGTTGGTTAGGCAACCTTAGAAAAGTGATTTTCTGTCAATTTGGCTAGAGAAAGTTGTATATAAAAATTAGCTCTATTGCCTAAAATAAATGTCATTTTTCTTTAAGTAATTGATAGTACTATTGCTGCCTCATTTTATAAATTATTCGCTAAAACATCTGTATAAAATCTGGAATTTTCCAAAAATGTCTGGGAACAGTCCGAATTACATTTTCAAAAAGTAGAACCAACCTTATTAGTGACTTGTTTTTTTTTTTTAATCTTGGTTAAATTTATACATTTTTTGCATTCCGAATTTATAAAGTTAAATGTTTTTACTAAAAATTAGTATATTCATATTAAATGTCCCCCAATCCAGACCACACGCATTCAAAAACGTTTTTTTAGGAGTAGATGTCATTACCCATTTAGCCTTGACAACTAATTAATTAAATGTTTGGTGACAGCTTATTTTCAGTCAGAATGGACATGGGTCAGCTGGGCAATAGCTGGCTTCCCATTTATTGGACTACTACTGGGAGGCATACATGCTTGTTTTTCAGCATGTAAGGATTCATCTGGGGTAAGTGTATTTTCTCATTTAACTTGATATTGTAAACAACTATATTTTGCTTTTTTAATTTGCTTATGAAAGTTTCCAGTAATGTATCATGGTGAAAGACTAGGATTTATTGACATAAACTACATGACTTAATCTAAACTTGTATTTCCTAGACTTAATCTAAACTTGTATTTCCTAGACTTAATCTAAACTTGTATTTCCTATAGGAAACATGTTTATCAAAGGAAATATTTTTAGATTAACAATATAGAACTATGTACAAAAGATGTTATAAAACTTGGTTCATACCACTTAATTTGTAAAATGGAAAATACATCTTTCCTATAACTAGCTTTGTATAAACCCATTAAAATTGTGGGTTTTTTAAAAATAAAATCATTTTTTTAAATTATAGTGGTTGAAAAGAAAATATCTAAATTTGACTATTTAAAAAGTCTAAGAAATTGTATTATGAAGTTATCAAAATGTTACAGTACTACATGAAATACTTGTTCTATGTATGTCCAACTAATTTTTAAAATAAGAACTCAAGATTCTAAGATCATAGATACCAACAACATTGTTGATTTATTTCAAGTAGTAAAAAATTATGACATTTAAAATTTTGGTTTTTAACATCTTTTTTTTTTTTTTTGACATCCTAAGAAGTGCCACGATTGAGTGGTTATTTCTGTAGAAATATGCACGACAAATTGAATATTTTAAACTCACAGAACAGATCTAATTGTTTCAATCCTGAAAAAAAAGTACATAATTGCAATGAAATTGGCTTTTTTTTTTCCATTTTTTTTTTATAAAATTAAAAAGTGTTAAAAAGAGAAGAAAAAAACACAATTCACCACCCCCTCTTAAATTTAATTATTGACTGAGAAAGTGTGTATATATGTATTATGTTTGACCTTTTTTAAAATTTCTACATAAAACATCATCTCTTGTCTGAAATTTTTTATTCCATTTTTAGAAGTGTAGAAAACTCTGTTGTGGTGTTACAGAGCGTGTTAGGGAACAGAATGGAGATGAATTTATACCACCAACTCTCATTCCTTCTGAGCCCAGTGCACCGCCATATATGTACAGTTACATGGACCGTACTATCAATGGATCAGGAAGACGAGATGATTATCATTTAGATCATTATAAACTGGATTATGATGTTCCTGAAGCTGAACCACTGACTCGAAATGACAGGTCAACTAGAATTTAAAAGATTTTCAGTGTTTTTGTGTCCTGTGATACTGTATGTTTTTGCTGTACTTGTAAGCTTTAAAAATTATTTTAATTTAATCCGTGCAAACATGATATATAAAATCATTGATAAGGAAAAAAAATTTGCTTAAAAAAAATTGAAAACCATTGTTAAATTAGATGTCTGTTTTATTTATGGATTATCATTTTAAAGTTAAATTTTAAAATGTACTTTTAGTGTATAATTTATTGTGTAATAAAATGGAAAATGTATTGTCACAATTAAAGAAAGTTGTTTAAAAGCGCAATCTCTGTACTGATGTTTGTATCATTAGTAGTTTTGTACCACTAGATTTGTTAATTACATAAAATTTTTCACCTAATCATTTAAATACATCTTCTAAAATCAGAATGCATCTAATTTTTATGTATTTAAAATATTAGTATTAGCTTTTATGAATCAGTTGGAAACATTGTTTTTTAAATTTGTGTAAACACTATGTTTACTAACATTCTGATGAATTTTTATTTTCTATGTATAATTTTATATGCTATATTTATTTTCAAAATCTATCCTGCTCATTCCAAAGATGGTTATTTGTTCTTTTTTATGTTTATGAGCAAAATCAATTTTATCAATTATCTTTTTTAAGTATATTAATGTAGAAAAATCTTATAATAATTTATTTTGCAACTATCAATTAGTGATTATAAGCTGTTCTAAAATATCTTGAAATGTATGTGAATTAAAATTACATGTATAAATTGTCAAATTTTATTGAGTTTGTTCATGTTAGTGGTGCAAAACCACTTTTGTATCATTTGATATCGTTATAAAAAAACGTATTACATGACATATTAAGTTGCTTAAAGAAACTCTTTTATAATACAAATAATGACTACAAGAATCTACATATATTTTGTGATTCCTGTTCTTGGATTTTTTTTAAAATCCATTTTTTTAAATGCTTCATTACATTAATTTAAATTGAAACATTTTCACTAGTCACTACTTTTTATGCATTAATTAAACTTTTACTTTGTAAAAAATTTCTATAATTCTGGCTCACTCTGTAGTGTATAAAAATATATTAGTGCATTATAATTTTATAAAAGTTGTAACAATGTGAAGTTACCTAGCTCCGACACTTTTATTTTGAATTTTAATTAAAAAAAACTTTTCAGTTCATAATTCACAAAAAAAACTTGTGAACCGTCCAGCTAAATTATGACAACTTCTTAAAAGCTATCATACAAGTAAGTTGAGCAGATGCAGTTTAACCTCTGATTTTTTTTTTAATGAAAGCTTTCAAATAGAAAGAAAACAGTCCTAATCAAGAATCTTGCTCACAGGGTAGTATTTTAGTGATAATTTATCAGTATGGTTTTATTTATTTTGTATATTTTTCATTCATGTTTTGGAATGTGTGGTAACATCTGGATCTGCTGCATCTGACTTTTTAAAAAAATTTTACCATTTTAATTCTCAGATTTAGAAGTCAATTGATAATTGAAAAATTTACATTCTTAAATAAAATATATTAATTACTATTTTTTTTTTAGCTGAGCTCATTTAATTGTTTTCTTATATACAGATTTAGAAAAAATAAATTTTAGAATATCAAATAGAAAACATTTTTATTTTACATATGAAATTATTATTATATAAATATTATACATTTGAAATGTTTGCCATTTTATTTGAATGTGAAAGCGTACATTTTATTGCTAAATAATGTTTTATGTGTTCCATTCCATTTTTGGTTTGTCTTTTTGTGTGCATTATAAGATGTTGCATGTCACACAGCTTTCGGCTTTTAAATTATTTATTTTCATTACATATTTGTTGCATTCTCTTATCCTTCCCATTTCTGCGACTTTCATTTCTGAATTGTACTGAGCATCTAATGACACCAGTTTGGTTAGCCCTAATATTAATAACAGCTTTTGTATTGGCCGCCTCTATAAAATAAATTTGGCCCCTTTTCACACATAAGTATTCTTGAGAATATTGGTGTTGTTACCAATATAAAATCTTTGGGCAGAAATGAATTGTAAAAAAAATATTTTTGTTAAAATATAATTCTTTGTTGCTTTTCAAACATGAGTAGGCCTAATAAATCATGTTTTTAATCTGAAGATGTTACAGAAGCAAAAAATCATGTTAATTATGAAAAATATCTAAAAAATAATAATTTAAATGTCACATGTTACATGGTTTATTATGTACTTATTCTACTTTAATGAAATGGTTTTATTTCTAACCTATAGACATGTATTTTAATTTTTCTGTTCCATTCCCCCTTTCCTAATCACATTTCCTGCATATGTTTCTAATATAAAAATAAAATAAAGGATTTGACCTTTCACCACAGTATTGGGGCAGAATGTTTATTTAAAAGAGAATTGATAAAACTTAGTTTCATTTTTTAATAATACAAAGTCGCGGCTTTTTAAAAAAAAAATTTATTTTTAGCTGGGAAACCTCTATTTGATGATAAATGGCTTAGGGTTAACTATTGAAGTAACTTTTTATTTAGAAATCTTAATAAAATTAGTATTTGAATCACATGTTAACTAATGATAAGATAAATTAGCCATTCAATTGGTTGTCAGCATTAAATCTATATGACAAAATATCTAGAACATTTAATCCATCAACTGGTTACAAAGGTAGTCCTGTTTTCCTGATTGACATTACTATATTCACTTAATTAGTTTTCTACATCTTGATTCAATTTTGAGAAATAACTACTTATTGTAAATTGCTCATGACATTTTTATTTACCCTCTGCATACATAGCAAAATGTTATATAGAACCACAGCAAATTGTTAACTAGTTATATAGAATAAATAGAATAGCGGTCTTAGTGTAAATTGTTTAATAGTGGTTTTCCTTTAATTTTTTGTTAAACTACACATTGTTATTTCTAATGGCAAAGAGCAGCTATACACTTTACTGAAAACTACATAAATTGGGACTTCAATTTGGGGCATCAATTAATCATACATTATCCTAAGAATTTTGTCATATGTGCATCATTTATTTGAAACATGCACAAACACTATTTCATGCAGAAACTGTGATATACTTTAATACTCAATCTTTTTAATTATGAATATTGAACATAGCCATCTTAAAAACAGGTCACTCATTCCATTTAAGTTGTAAGATTCAATTTATAGGGCAAACAAAATTTCCCATTTCTTTGGCTGTCATTCAACATGTTATATGATGCACCATTGGTTTATTCTGCCCCTAGGCGGGTGTCATATGTGCAATATAAAATCAATTTTGTTTTGGTTTATGCACTGATAAATACTTATTAGAATTTTTTAAATTTACCCACTCATTCATTCACTTTTTTCTTCATTCATTTTCACAAACCCATAAAGCTTTTACAAAATTTATTTGATTTAATGCATGAAATTATAATATTATTATTATAATATGTAGCTTACTAAAACATGATTTTCTTAAAAAGATCCATCAAATAAAAATGCTATAATCATTCTGGTTTTTAAATCTGTTGATTTCCAATGTAGCCTTAGTGATGATTTGCACATTGTAATTAACTGCTATATAATTAATTTGTGCACTAGTCAGATATATTCACATAACCTGTTAAGGTGGAATACAACATGCACTTGGCTGATCATTTTTCTTTTATTTTCTCAAAACCTTGATCTAAAGTCTAAAGGGATCCAGACAAAAGACTGTTATTCAACAGGCAATAAGTTTTATAAAACAAACTAAAATTACAGTTATGTTTAATATTTATTAAAAACCTGTTACATAATTGTAAAGTTAGAGTTCAACATAAATGGTATGCTATACTACAGGGGTCTCCAAACTGCGGGCCGCATGCGGCCCGCGACGTCCTATCATCCGGCCCGCGGAGATCTTTTTGTGCACGAAAAAAACGTTTGTTGGTGATGGCTGAGGAACTGTGCCCAGAAAAATCAAAGGCATGCCTGGAAGAAACTGGCCCCCGAACTGAAATTTGATATTTAATGCGGCCCTTGGACTGAAAAGTTTGGAGACCCCTGCTATACTACGTAGGAATTCAAGTCTTCTTCTGTTTTCACATGCGGCAATGACATTTGAAATCCTGTCTTCTTTACCAGGCAACACATTTGGTACCCTGTCCCCTGCAACTGGGTGGATCACACCCGTACACTTTTGATAATGGAAAATACTATTTCTTCTGATTCCCTAAGTCTAATCTCATAGTTTGTTTCCCTTGTTCATTGTGGGATAGGTAACAATACTGACATTCAGGGCATAGTGGTCATGGGGAAACCAATACATGTCAATGGGAGAGCTGTAATATGATACTATAGGTTGATGGGATTCTCAAGCTAGAGTTAACCTGTGGGTGGACACATATAGTGATTTATACTCTTTTTTTTCTGGAGCTCTGACTTGCAGTTACAGACATTACTGTAGTTTAGAGTTACAATAGGTCAATGAAATGCAGGGGTAAGATTGTCTGAGGAAGGACATATATGGTGATTTGTACACTTTGTTACGATCCCACGGGATCTTTACCTGGGTTTGGCCCTACTATCGAAGGGTGATAAGCGCTTGAATGGCCCGGCCAGGTAATTAAAATGAAATGCGAAGGCTGGCGCAGATGGTCGGAGATTTATGGCTGGAACACCCATGGCCGGAGATGACCCTGGGGTAGACCCCACACCTGCCTGGGGGACTCGAGTATTTTAGGGGAGACAGACACGCACACACACACACAGGGACTAGACTCACTCGGATAGCTAGGGTGAGGAGATACACGGGACGTCTCTGTGAGCTGATGACAAGCCACGAGATGTCTAAACAGTTAAGGACAAAGTATATTTGTCGGACTAAGGACTTCAATTGTTGTAGATAGTTGTATATTTTTCTGTTTCCATGTGGTGGCGGGTTAGTGTTAGATTGTAGGAAAAAAAAGTCACAGGAAAAAAAAAAAACAGAAAAAAGTCACAAATATATATTTACATGGAATTTATTAATATTTTTATGTATTAAATATTCAGAGTGCAAATTAACTTAGGATTAATTAAATGTAATGTGTGTAGTTTGTATACGCATAGTAATTTTTATAATTCATCTAAAAATATTTAGTATGAAGTGTGTGATTGTAATTATGTTAAACAAAATATTAATAACATTTAATAGAATGCTTCAAAGTCCGCGGTTTTCATCGTGGTTTTTTTTTTTAAAATACCAACATCTGACTTACTGCCCTGAACTCATCGCAACAATAATTATGCTTAATTCAACCACCTTTACTGCCCACATTTATCACGCTCATTACATAACAAAGCATGGGATCAAAACAGAAAGCCGACAAGGTTCAAAGGCTGTCATTGACGCATAAAGTCAATAACACAAAAGACGTTCAGACAATGCCTACTGAGGAGAGGCCGACCAGAGAACAGCCTACGGCAAAACATATGCAAAACACAATAATGTGCCTAAATTTCTTTTATAATTAACTTCTCAAACCGCGTATTAAACTAAATACGTAACAAAAGTTGAGATTGTTGTGTAAATTATGTTTGAGTATTTTTACTTACAATTGTTATAAACCATAATGCTTTTAACGTCTATAAATAATATATGCTATCAAAATATACAACCCATAACAATAAACATACAGAATTTTACAATTTTCAACAAATAAATCAAAATATTTCTGAAAAGATTTTTGTGACTTTTTTTCTGTGACTTCATTTCTGTGACTTTTTTTCCGATAAAATTTTTCCATTGTGACTTTTTTCTGTGACTTTTTTTCCTAGCAAAAACTGACTTTTCCCGTGTTTTTTTTTTTTTTTTTGTTTTCCTGTGACTTTTTTTCCGTTCACCTAGTGTTATTGTGGCAATAAATAGGAATCATTGATATTTGCGTTTATTCATATTTTCTTATTTTTATTTATGATTTCCTGACTAGTTCGAAAGGATTAGAGAAGGGGGTAGTAACAACGTAACATTTAGAGAGCTCTGGAATGTAGATAGAGAAAGTCAAGCAGTTAAGAGTAACTTGACATTGTAATCAGACATTAACCTAATTAGGAGTAGGAGTCTGAACAAAAAGGCAAAACAACTTAGTAATGCTTCTTGAAAGTTGATACTGGGCAATTAACAGGCAATTTACAGGCTGTGACCCTGAGAGTAAGGTGTATAAATAGAGGCATAAATATTGAGCACACAACGAAAACAAGTTTAAATTCAAGTGCTTATGACAAAGGAATAAATTTGCCAGTTTTAGTGTAGCAGATGATGGACCAACAAGTTTTGAGTCTGAACTATCAGTATCAGATGTAGAAGATAAGGAATGGCAGCCATCATTACTTGAAGACAATGCTGGTTCGATTTCTGATGAGGTCAACCCAGTTTACTGTATTTCATCTATCGATGTGTCAACAATTGACACTCATAATGAAATGCAGCTGATGGTGCGGTGAAGAAAAAGAAATATTTTCAGGAAAGACAATTTAACAGTACCTGAAGTGCAAATCCCAGGAAAAATGTACATCACTGAGCATGTGGTCTCTCTCATTAAAATATTTATTCTTTACATGAATGAAGAAATGATATAGCCAATATTTGACTGCATTAGCAAGAGAAGACCCTGGCACTCTGCAGAAAAAACATTTTAGTTTTATATCAATTCAGTTCTGCTTATGGAAGATTTTTGATAACCTACAAGCATACTGCAGTGGACCTCTCTCCCCACACACTGTTGGAACCGCTCTCAGCCGACTCATTTGTGGAAGTCATAGCTGGATGACCCTTAGATTTAAAACTTACTATTTCTTATACTAGATAAAATAATACAAAAATAAGGCATGCGGAACAAATGCATACGTTGTATTATTTAAGTGTTGGCTAAGCTAAATCTAAAGAGTATTGAATGAAGGGGGTCCCACTGGCATATTCAATGAGGACGTTACCACTGGAGACTTAGTCTCTACGGAAACCGTATTGAAAGGGACCCTTTGATCGGGAGCCAAAATGACGGGAGCCGTTTTGTCGTGAGTCGTAATGACGGGGGACGTTTTGTTGGAAGCCTAAATGGTAGAAGCCTATATGTCGGTAGCCTTATTGAAGAGAGCACTTTTATCAGGACCCCTCTTATCGGGAGCCTATTTGTTCGGAGCCTAAATGACGGGATCCAACTGTCGCTGGCCCTTTCAGGACCACAAGGATTGTTAACTTTTTTCAGAAATCTTAAATAGCTTTTGAGACATGATATCCCATCACAGGTTTCATTCTCAAAAAGGACATGTCTTGCGAATGAGTTTAAAAAGGAATTCTTTACTTTTTCGTGTAATGTTTAATATGATCTATAATCAGAGCTACCAAGCACTCAAAATAACAAGGATTTTATATGCCAAAAACATAGGGATCTTCAATACAATTGTAAATTTTCCATAGCAATAGTAAATAGCTTTCATTTGAAAGTGTGTTTTCAAAAGACTTTAGTCGAAAAAAATATCTTGTTCACCAAATAAATATGTGGGAAATGCTCTCGACTGAAACAAGTGTATTTAGATCTATTTTCTTTATCTACACAATTACACAAATGTGCAAGGTATAGGTCACGGGTTCCCAACCTGGGGGTCGCGACCCCCCTGGGGGGGGGGCTTTCTGGGGGGTCGCCAACTGGTATACTAAACCTTAGTAATTTGAAACAAAACATAAATATTTAGAAGAATTTTTGAAATTCGGCTTCATTAACATCACTGGAAATGTAATAGAGAAGAAACAAAGCGCACTGTACAAAGTTGTTCTCAGTCATGCATCTATGAAATCTTCAAAACTAAAACGTCATTTGAGACGAGTCATTCGGAACACACAAAAAATATATGGAGTTCTTTCGTCGGTAAGAAGCTAGTCGTAAACGCCAGAGACTTGATCAAACAGGAAGTTTTCACCAGCATTAGTGCAAGTATCAAATGAAGTCACGGTAGAAAATGCCAAGCAAAAAAAAAAAAAAAAAAAAAAAAAAAAAAAAAACAATAGGAGAAAATCTCATCAAACGCTGCATGTACGTAAATGTTAAATAACACATTTTTATTGAAATTTAGCTTTCACCATTGTTTGCTTTTCAAGTTGATAAATCAACAGACGTGATTTCGTGTTCGCAGTTGCTGGTCTGTGTCTATATTCATGCGGATGATAGCAAAGAAGAGTTGCTATTTTGTGGAGATAGCATCGAGGAAATAAATACGTTTTTTTTTAAACGGGATGATTAAAATGGGTTAGAACGGCTTTGGGGGTTTGCACGGATGGTGCGCCATCTATGATTAGCTCAAAATCGGGCTTTCAGAAAACAGAAAAGATTTAGCTCCCTAACCACTGCCCTAACCAATCGACATCGTCCATTGCTAGTATAAGTCGTAAATTATATAAAATCTGGAGCCTTCAAAGAACTGAGCAAAAACATTAATATAGATCTCGAGGTTCTGCTCTTTTACACTGCAGTACGCTGGCTGT